AAATTGCATAGGTTTGATAAAAGGAAAAAAAATTTAACAAAACCTATGTATCTACAGAAGTGTATCTGAATGAATAGCAATAAGCACCACAGAGATTCCCAAGCAAACACAACATTAACGCAGAACTGTTTCAGTTGTCAAAACCATTTGCCTCAATTTACTTACAGCTCAATCATTCATTTATTATGCTCAATGTTATTGCTAATGTGAGAAGAAAAAAAATCAATGCATCCTTAGTTTCCATCAATTTTACTAAATTTATAAGGTATCAAAATAAAAAAATAAATAAACGAACAAACAAATAAATGATTTTTTTTCTTTTCTGCTTCAAATTTTCTTAAATTGCGGTAGCGAAAAAGAGACGAAAGTACGGCGTAAAAAGCATAAAGCAGCATAAATTAAAATGTCAAATAGTAGCAATAAATTAAACGTATGGCTTAAAGCAATTTGAAGTAATCCAAAAGTCTTTGAAGCCTTTAGCGTTTTTTTCCTCTTTTTTCCAGGTTTTTATTTTTTATTTTTTTGCCTATTCCATACAAAAAGTATTAAATGAATAAATAAAACTAGACAGAGAGACGGACTATAGTGATAAGTTGATCAACGGTTATGACTACTCATAGTATTAGAATGCTGTTACGATCATCGGCAAAACATATTCAAGTTTTCAGAAACTATTCCAATAACAACAGATATACATAGAAAAATTTTCAATGCTATAAAGATCCCTCTATTTACTGCTGAAGAATCGTCTATACAGGTCATTTTTATAACAATACGGTTACCTCATCTATTTTTTCTGCAACAGAAACAGTGAACAGAAAGGAAAAACGATATCCGCTTCCAAAAAAAAAAAAAATAGAATAAAAAAAAAGTAATACTCATTAAACGACTACTGATATATACTGTCAACAACTGTTATCTAACTATAGTTGTTATTTATTTTACCTCAAAAAAATGGCAATTTTATCCGGTTATATAATGCACAACGGAAAAAAAATTCCTCAACAAACAGCAATCAAATATGAAGGTAAGACAGAGTCTAACTAAACTGGTTAAATATTAAAAATAGACTTTTTTTTTTTGTCAAACAAACACCAATCCCTACACAAAAATTGCACTATAATGCATATCAACCGATTAGGAACAGTGTTAAACATTAGGCAAAAATTTTAATTCATCTCTCAAATTATCATATTAGTATATCTTATATTTTTCATTGATAAAAATCTTATTCAAGAGATGAAAAACAAAAAAAAAAAAAAAACAAACAGATAAACGATTATTATAAAAAAAATTTCTCGCAAAATTTTGTGCCACAGAGAAAAATGCATATAATTTCAGCAAAAAAAAAAAGGTAAACAAAAAAATGATTCTTTCAAGTTCAGTTTTTCTTATTTTTTTTTTTTTTAGCCTTCAACAATGAATAAATTTTGCTAAAAACGATTGATGATTCAAAATAAATTATAAATAACTTTGTGTTCGTAACTTTGTGTTACTGTGCTATTATTCTTATTAAAATTTCACTTCTTTCATCTGTTTTTCTCTTCTACACTCTAAGTGTTAATAGGTGGTAGCTGAGTAAAATTTGTAAGAAAAATTGTCGAAAGACAGGAAAAAAGAAAACATAAAAACAAAAGGATTAATCATAGAAGCAAAATATAGGTATATACAAAAATAATACAAGTCCAAAAATAAATAAGTAGCCACAAAATACAGATTACGAAAGACGCAGAAAAAAGCAAAATTTAAACTGCGCAACCTATCTTCCGACAACGATTACTTTCTGTTAAAAATCCATTTTTTTGATAGAAAATTTTTGACCAAACAGTAGACAGCTTTAAAAACAATAGAGAACCCTGTATCATACCTTTTCCAATCTGTACCAAAGCTTGACGACTCCAGTATAGATACTGAAATTTTCTTGTTGGTGGGAATTTTAGGAGTGTAATCGCTCTTACCGTTTCTTCAGTTTCTTCACAATCTAGGAATTAAAATTTCCTGACCACCCAGTACTTTCTACAGTTTTCTACTACTCATTTCATCACAAAAAAGGTGATGAAACTGCCTGCTTGTTATTTGTTCACCATTTTTTCGTAATTCTGGTGAATAAAAAAGGAAGAGCTTTCACAAGTGAGAGGAAAGAACGCATGAGATGAGAAAAACAAAAGTTTAAGGAGTCCTTTCCTTAAAGCTTTGTAATGTTTCGCACTTTCCATGCTTTGACAAGTCTTCTTGCCCCTATTTGAGATGTGAACCCTTAGCAAACATTTTCTCTGCTGAACAACCACCACCCTTTAACCACTTGCGTTGTAATCTTATTCCTCCCCGACAGTTCATGTGTTCTGATTCTTGAAGCGTATAGATCAAGCGAATGAAAGCGGTTACAGGAAATCTTTTGCACTTCCTAAAACCCCTACCGCTTTCATCTGCTGCCTTCAACAGCTTCTTTTATCGGGAGTTGCTATGAAATTCCTGCGGTTTCCTTCTGATCATTGTGAAAAGGCGTTATTCTTTGGTTTTCCTCATGTATTCAGTCCTATCTCTTTATGTTTTCGAGACGGCTTTCTAACGGCTTCTGAAGCTCAATGATACCGGATCAGTATTAACAGCTATGCTTTCAGTACCCCAACGTTCCCTTTTACTGCATCACTGACGCGCCGTATTCTTAAACTCTGCCTTACCCGTATACTATTTCGGGTTGTATTGCCTTGATTCAAAGGGACTTTCCCTTATTTCTTTTGTAATGCCCTTCCCCCTTCACCTTCACACTTTCCCACCAAGAATCAGGAGATGCTCCCTGACCATTCAGTGGTCGCTCTCATCGTTAAAAGAGTATATGATCCAGTGCATTCGCTGTACGTATCTTTCCACTCTCTAATCTCTTATGTGAAAAATGAAACAATACAAAACGTAAAAACCTCTTAGTATGAAGACTTTCAAATTATCTGTAGTACCCCAGAAGACCTTTTCCGTAATAAAGTAGTTAGGAACCGAAAGTAAAGGATTGAAGAGAAACGAAATGGTCAACAGTAAGCAAAATACAATACCTGAAAAGTGGATGATTATTATCCAGCTGGCCTCCATTCAGGGACGATTTTCTGGACACTCGTCTCAACGGAGGATGTACAGCTCGACGTGGTGAAACTGACTGCTCCAGCTCCACAGACATTGTTACCAACTTTTATACCGAATTTTTTTAAATTTTTCCAGAGATAAGCAAAATTTTTTAAAAAGCTTTTTTTCTTTTTCCTTCCCTTCGTTATTTTTTATATTTTAATTCAGAGTGACCTTAACTTGATGAAATTCTAAATTATTCTTCGTATCAGTGTTGTCGGTTGAAACGTCGACGACGCCGACACATTTAAGAATCTACAGTCAGCAGTAGTAGTCAACGAATAAAGGTACTGCCTAAAAATTCTGGCCAGCTCTTCTTTTTCTCCTTTACTTGTTTACTTTTAGAGAAAAAGAGAAATGCACGTTTCCAAAATCTGGAAGATAAAGTAAGTTGGAATATGATTAATGAATGAATCGGATGCGGGAAAAATAAAAAAAAAAGTGCGGTACGTTCAGCTGTAACAATTCTTGCTCCAATCTCCTCCTGAAAAACACGTTCTCTTATTTAGCAGAAGAATAACTGAAACAACAGTAACAACACCAACACGAACAGCAGTAAAAATAACAAAGCAATGTTTCAAAAAGGTGTTTCAACCTAACGTTATCAAATAAAATGTAATGCAATATCGTCGTAAAAGACGATTGCGATGATCAATGTCATGATCGCTTCATTCATCCATTTATCCATTCACTGACTCACTCATTTACTCACTCATTCATTGATTCACTCATTCACCCATCTATTTTTTTTTACCCGCGCAACGTTCACAAATTTTACAAGTTGCACAATAAAATTTTTCTCTTGCTTTTCCGCGTTTCATCCAAATTCCTTTCAAATAAACTAAAAAAAAGATTTTTAAGGTTATTAATGGAAAATATAATATCTTTTCCTTTTTCTGTTCCTTATACTAAAAACTGATCTTTACCCTACTCCCTTCCCAACA